TAATCCTGAAGAAACCCTCATATAAGCTTCGAGCTCTGCGACGACGTCTTTGAGTGAGGCGTCCTGGTTCTTCTCAATAACACGGAGGGCGAATTTTTAATTCATTGTTATCATTTGAGTAACAAAGTAATTGCAATAATAAAATTATACGGAGATTATCATCTGTCAATTTAGATCGATCAAATTCAGCTGCATGTCGGTTGATGCGGTTTATGTGTTCGATGATCGGAATGGACTTGTCGTAACGATAATTTAGCATCTCGATATGTCGACGAGTAATGAGTACTTTGTCCCGAAAGAGTTCCTTTAGCTCGGTGAGGAGGTCTTTTTGAGACATTTGAGACGGGTCCGTTGGTGCAATATGATCCACTAGTCTGTCGAATTTCGTTTGTCCCAATTTATCCAGCACAAGACGTGTTTGCATCTGAGGTGGCAAGCACGCTGCTTCTGTAATCACAGTATATTCGTGACGTAGCAGCCATTTTGTGAATGGCTCTGTATCATCGCCCGAGCCATATAGGTATTTTTCGAGGCTAGCACTCAAGTGATTGTAGATCTCTCAATGCGTTTGGGATAGATTTCCTTGATCTTCTCCTTGTTGATTGAATTGAAGTTGAAGAAGATTACTCACGGCTGCTGTGAGAGCTTCGAGTTGCTTCGTAACGTCGACCATTGTTCCTCGTGATTCTCCCGAATATCTCACGTAATACAAGTTCAAAATCACTACCGCAGCGCCAGTTCTTGAGGATTTGATTCTAGAGATCGTTCGCGAAGAGGAGATTGTAATAGCCCGAACGTGACTTTACGTAATTAGGTAACTGATTTATTAAGATCCTCAATAATACATGTGATCTGTCGTATGTCCCGGTACGAACTACCTTTTCCGCGGACCGCCTATGTCGCCAACGACATCTAGCGATGACGATTGGCGGTACCCAACAGAATATTTGTATGGAATATAATAGAACTCCTGCCAAAATAATATTAATGTAAATATAAAATCTACACAAAAAGTACAATTTATTATATACTTATTGATAATAAAAGCCTGCTAATTAATGTACACTTTCTTACACTATCTTCTTCGGGAAATATATGTTGTATGGCTCCTACAAGTTCAATAAAACCTGCATTTGAAATTCTGAAAATAAAGAAATATAGAAAAAGAATACAAATATTCTAAAAATGAGACAACGTGAAGCAATTTAAGGAAAAATAACTATAGAAAGATTAATTTAAAATCAATGATAAATAGGCTTACTTTTCAGATTTATTTAATTCATCCTCAATAATAATTTCTGTTAATTTAATTCTATCTTTATCCAGTTTTAAATAAGGAACTTGCTTCGCCAGTTGCAATGTACATCTACCTGTAGCTGACTTATTTAAAAGAAGTCGAAGTTGCTGCAAAGAAAGATTCAAGTCTTGGAAAACGAACCTAATTTTTTTATATTCACAAAAAACATGGCAAAAATACTATCTATAGCATTAAATTATTGATAACTTACCTCGCCACGTGTCACATTAGGATTATTACTCTCTCGATTCCTTTTTTTTGAAGAGATATTTTTTGAGGTTTCTTCTAATGATAAACCTCTCTTTTCTCTTTCTCTCTTCTGAAGTATCCTGCACAAATTAAATATTTAAAAATAGAAATTTTTCATAGATTTTTTTAAAAATAATGTTAAGTATCAAAATATCTTACTGGTTGAGGTGAAAGAGAAATAGTGATATCATTTATATCATTATTGCGTACTGTAACATCATTATTACTATTCTGAAAAAAAAGGAAAAATTAAAAACAGATAAATTAAAAGATTTTTAATTATAGATTTTTAATTACATGAATTTTTTTCTTTTATACTTCACATCAAAATAAATTAACTTTTTCGCATGTCATATTCATATTTGATAAGCCAAATTAAAACTTATTGAAAATTTTATTTTAAATTTGTACATTGATAAGCAATTATAAATCTTTATCAAATTTTATTTTCAAGCTTTATTTTCTGAAAATATTAGACATGTAAAGTAAATAAAATATATATTTTTATTAAAAAACATTTGCTTATATTTTACTATTAAATAAAAAAAAATATCATGCTATGTAAAAACTAATTCATTTTGACATAATTTAAAAAAAATTCGTTTCATGCTTTTATATCGCGTCATCATCCAATATATTTACAATGAGTAATTAAAATATAAAATTTAAAAATTTTTTTAGTGCCTCAAATTATTGCTTATATATATTGCTTTTTGTAATTATCAGTTACATTAACCAATGATGTATTTCTATTGATACTTCACTTTTTTCTTGTATCAATTTTCTTAAATGTTTGACAAATTTCATTCTATGGGCAGGACTGGAATGAGAGAATCTAATACATCTTTCCATTCAGGTTCTAATAGAATCTGAAGTTCATCAACTTCTACACCATTATCTACAAAATGTGAATATTTAAATATGCAAATAAAATATTTTTTGAGGCCACAACATGATTATCTCTAAAAGAGATGAATATATCAAATAAGTATAGTATATACGTAATTAACTTCTATACATTTTATCAATAATAGTGTTACGTCCAGGCCCGAGCAAGGATGGGCCGAAGGAAGGGCACTTGTATCCCGAGAACAGGTGCCTTAAGGGCAAGTGTCTCGGGTCGAGCGAGCCTGCGGGTGAGCCAAAGATAGGTCAACGACCGCAAGAGTCGATTTTACACTACTTCTGGTCCAAATGCCCGCTTGGCGGTCCCCTTTTCGGTAAAGGAACTTAATCCTTTTTACCCGGGACGGGACCAAGTGCGATTCAGGAGCGTGGGTAATGAGGGGGGGAATTGATTACGTTGGATTTAAAAGAAATAAAATTAATTAAATTTATTGTACATTATAAAAGGATAAAATTTACATCAACATTTTAATTAGTTATTACTCTAGCACAATATTAAGTGTGATTGTTTGTATGTTTGTGGGTACATTAAGCGTGATTGTGTGTGTATGTGAGACGGAGGGAGTGGGAGGAACTTTGAAGATAAAAGAAAAGACTTACTATTTGCGAAAGGCGATTGCAAGTGGAGAATATAGTCGTAATGGCTGCTGGGTCCCCTTTTCGTGTCGAAGACGAGGCGGTGTTATAAGTTGACTCGTTATGTGTATATATGTAGCTGATAGGAACGACCGAATATTCGCACTGCCTCTATATGAAGGTTGATATGTCTCGAAACTTTTGCGTATATGAACGCGTGAGTCAATGAATGAATAATTGATTGACTGAACGAATTTTTCTGACTGAACGAATTTTTCTCCCTGAACGAATTTTTCTCACCAGTGTTGTTCGAAGTTCGCGCTTATATATCGTTTTGGATTACCCTCTCTTAGCGTGAGGAATAAGGGAGGTTGACGAATAGAAATCTTTGTTAGATTTCCATGCCCTCCTCTCTGCCCCTACTTATGAGTATTTTAGTACAAATGTAACAAATCAGAATTTTATTACATTTGTTCGCGAATAGGAGAGCATCTTCCAAAACGGGGGATTTAGGATTCTCAGTATCGCACAAGGGACTGTTACTACCCTCTTGCGATATTCGGTCACTCACGTTTTATGATTAGTTTCCTTTATTTTTTGATTTTATGAGTTTTTAAGAAAATATCGAATTGTTTGATTGAATGCCGCTTTATTTAACCGGATGCTACTTTTATAGCCTGTTAACATCCGGTTGTTATTTTAGGACATGTACTGAGCATCCCGCTTTAATCTAGCTATTATTATCGGCTCTAGAAATCGTGTACGTGTGCACCGGATACGGGAAAGAAAAGAATCGTAACATCCGATATCCGATCACTCGCGTTTTATGATTAGTTTCCTTTATTTTTTTGATTTTATGAGTTTTAAGAAAATATCAAATTTGTTTGACTGAATGCCGCTTTATTTAGCCGGATGCTACTTTTATAGCCCGTTAATATCCGATTGTTATTTTAGGGCATGTACTGAAAATCCTGCTTTAATATAGCTATTATTATCGGCTCTGGAAATCGTGCACGTGTGCACCGGGTACGGGAAAGAAAAGAATCGTGAATTCCCCTGGACGTAACAATAGATATATATTATTAAATGTTCTATATTTTTAAATTTATATCTGAAAATGGATTTTATATTTGATAAAGATTTATAATTATTTGTTGTGCGAAATCGCGGTAGGAAGCAAAGCGAAAGTGAGAGAAGTTTTAGCTTTTCAATTTTATTCTTACTAAGTCTTGGTACAGAAAATAAAAAGAGTCACTATTTATAAATTGTATAACTATTACCTTACGATTGTGACGAACGCGAGGAGAAGACGCGACTATATTTCGCAAAGCGACGAAATACGATCGGGCCGCGAGCAACGGACTCCAGAAGGCAGAGAGAACTTTTGGTTTTTAGAATTGTTTCGAGGAGTAGCGCACTTTTGCTTCGAGATACTAAACTCTAGTGAGCGAGGACGGTCGTGCGAAGAGGTTTATATAGTAACATAGTGCTAGAAATTGCTCGAATATTCTAGTCGTCGAATTTTCTGGTCTGGTTTATTTATTTATCCTTTCCAAAGTTAAATTCGTTGTTGATATTTGTCACTCTCTTCGGGCGACCGTTTGATAAAAACGGCGTTAATTTTAAGCAAAGTGTCGCGCTCGGATTCGCGGAGATTTTTAAGCGCTGCGCGCGCGCGTCGGTCGCCGCCGCTCTGAGCGCGGTTATTACAATTGCGATCACGAAGTGCTCTGCCCACTTTTTGGCAGATTCGTTCAATTTTGAACATTCCGCCCGCCTCGTATGGGAACCGATACGACGAAGACGCTTTCCAATTATTGTCTACGAAGGCACGGTACCATGTGGCGCGCAAGTGGGTGAAGCGTGGTAGAGTTTCCCGATAGTACTGGATCGACAAAGGTAGGTCTACTAATCTTAGTTTTGGTAGAAGACTGATTAATCAACGATTTAATCTACGATTTTTTTTTTTTTTTTACGACTCGCCGTCTTCTCTGGCGCAGGAGCTGACGGGGAGGAGCACTAATTTGGTTACAGGTCGCGTAAAGTTGCCGGCGGAAGTGCGAACGCGGACGACTCGCGTGTGTCCGTCTCCTCCAGGGTAGACGCTCTCGATTCTGGCCAGGGGCCATTTGTTAGGAGGTGATATTTCGCTACGGAGCAGACAAAGGCGGCCGATGCGGACTTCCTCGTCGGCCTTGAACCACTTCGGTCGATGTGTTAGAGAGTGGAGATATTCTTGCGACCATCGATTCCAGAAGCTGTCTCGCATTTGATCAAGCAGCTTCCACCTGGTGAGTAGTGACTTAGGCTCTTCAGTAAGTGATAAAGTCGGGATGGCGTTGAGCGCAGTGCCTACGAGGAAATGGCCAGGGGTCAGCGCCTCTAGGTCTTCTGGGTCGTCCGACATGGCTTGAAGTGGGCGAGAGTTTAGGCAGGATTCAATCTGCGCTAGAAGTGTGGCCATTTCCTCGTAAGTTAATTTGACGTCTCCGATCACACGGCGAAGGTGATGTTTCACCGATTTTACAGCTGCTTCCCAGAGACCGCCGAAGTGAGGAGCCGCTGGCGGATTGAAGCACCACTCGATTCTCTCATCTGCTAGGTGAGTGCGGATGTGCCGTCCTTCCTTGCTGCTGGCGAAAAAAAGCGCTCGGAGCTCGTTATCGGCGCCTACAAAGTTAGTCCCGCGGTCACTGTAGAGGACTTTACATAGGCCGCGACGACTGATGAACCGACGTAGAGCGGCCAAGAAGGCATTGGAGGTGTAGTCAGAAGCGACATCAAGGTGGACTGCGCGGCAGCTAAGACAGACAAAAATTACGAGGAATGACTTATATGCACGATGACCTCGGCTCTTGGAGGTGCGTAACCAAACAGGTCCAGCGTAGTCGACGCCAGTGTGCAGAAACGGCCGTGAGGGTATGACTCTGGCGGCAGGCAAGTTACCCATTGGTGGTTGAGGGGTAGCCGCCCGCCATCGCACGCACGGCAGACAGCGATGAATAAAGCTCTTCACTAAAGCTCTCCCGCGTAACACCCAGTACTCCTGGCGCAGTGCGGCCAGGGTAAGCTGCACTCCTCCATGCAGTGTCCGCAGGTGGGTGGCCTTGATCAGCAGCTGCGTTAGGTGGGAGGCGCTTGGAAGTAAGGTCGGATGCTTCGCCTCGCGTGTCATCGCAGCATTGCTCAGCCGCCCGCCGACGCGAAGAATACCCTTGCTGTCTAGAAAAGGTCCTAGCTTGGCTAGCGTGCTTTTTTTCGGAAGTGGAGCGGCTTTGTGCACGAACTTTAACTCCTTCTTAAAGTTGATCGCTTGGACCACCCGAATCCAGCCAGCCAACGCCTCATCCAGTTCGGAAGGTAGCAGTACGGGCGCTGGGAGGTTGCTACTGCCTCCCGGCTCAATGCCCTTGGTCTTCCTAAGGCGTAACCAACGGCGGCACCAGGCGGTGATCCTCAATAGGTGGTGTAGCTCGGAGTATTGCGTTAGAAGCTCCGGTTCATCGATCGAATCATCGGCTGCAGTAGTTTGGTGTACGCCGAGACGCCGCTCAGGCAGGTCGACGTCGTGGGTGCTGAGAGGGCCGAGCGGCCATTGTTCCGGATCTCCTTGCAACCAGCGTGGGCCGTTCCACCAGAGTGGATGGCCTTTCAGCTCCGAGGGAGACAGGCCTCGGGAAGCACAGTCGGCTGGGTTGTCTACTCCAGGAGTGTGATGCCATGCGACGTCGGGTAACGTGGTCTGAATCTCGCTGACCCTGTTAGCCACGTAGGTCTTCCAGGATGCTGGGTGGTCTCGGATCCATCCTAAGACGACGGTTGAGTCGGTCCACAAATGTGTCGGAGTGGCCAAGGCGTCCAGAGCAAGTCGGATGTGCACGACGAGCCGTGTCAGCAAGGTAGCGGCGCACAACTCCAACCGAGGTAAGCTAACCTGCTTAAGAGGAGCGACTTTAGTTTTAGCTGAGAGAAGAGATACCTGGACTTGATTGTCTTTGTCTCGTGTTAGCAGGTATACTACTGCGGCGAAAGCCTTCTCCGAGGCGTCGGCAAAGCCATGAATTTCCGGATTACTGTCAGTCGGCTCAGACTTTAACCAGCGAGGAATCCGGATGTTTCCTAGGTGTGGGAGCTCCGACTGCCAGCCTCTCCATTGATGGGCGTCATCCTCGGGTAACGGGTCATCCCACTCGACGCCTCGCAACCAGGCGGCTTGGATCCAGATTTTTCCCCCCGTACCGTCACGGGGGAAAGCCATCCCAACGGGTCAAACAACCTGGCTGTCAAGGAGAGGACTGTGCGTTTTCAGAGGACGTCCGGCTGAGTAAACGCGGCTGAAAAGGCAAAGGAGTCCTCGTGAGGATGCCAAAGCAAGCCCAGAGTCGAGTGACTTTCCCCGGGTTGCCACCACCGAGGTTCACGTAGCAGCCGATCCTCGCAGGGTACGTCGCTGAGTAGAGCGGCATCGTTGGCGGACCATTTTTTAAGCGGTAAACCGCCCGCCCTGCAGATTCCGGTCAGCTGTCGGAGAAGTTCCTTGGCTTCTTTGATCATAGACGTGCCCGTGAGGACGTCGTCCATATAAATATCCTTGAAAAGGGCAGTGGCTCCGAGCGGATAGCTCGACTTCTCATCGTGGGCAAGCTGGTGCAGCGTGCGGATCGCCAGAAATGGTGCGCAGGAGAGTCCGTAAGTTACCGTTTTTAATTGGTACTCCTGGATGTTTTTCTCAGGGCTTGATCGCCACAGTATTCTTTGCAGATCTCTGTCTTGATGATGGACTTCGATCTGCCGGTACATCTTTTCAACGTCCGTAGCGATGGACGGAGCACGTCAGCTAAAGTCGGCAGCAGGTTGGGTCCGCAGTGAAGATGTTGATTGAGAGAAGAGCCAGTTGTCACGATCGCGGAGCCATTAAAGACTACGCGGAGCTTGGTCGTGACGATAGATTCCCGCAGGACCCCGTGATGAGGTAAATAGCAGACTGTCGTGCCGTCCGCTGGAGCTTGTACCGGCAGCATGTGGTCGAGCTCCATGTACTGCTGCATAAATTCTCGATAAAGAGAGTAGAAGGCGGGATCCTTAACGAAGCGAATTTCCATTCGTTTCAGAGCGCGAAGAGCTATGCGATGAGTTCCGGAGAGATTGGGCATTGATGTTGTTAGAGGCAGCCGAACAACATACCGACCGTCGGGCTTCCGAAAGTGAGTGCGGACGTAGTGGTCCTCGCACTCGACCTCAGCCTTGGAGAGAGCAGATGTAGCTGATGGAAGCTCCTCCTGTTCCCACAGGCGTCGCACCATCGCGGAGAGGTCGTCATCCACTTGACATTGGTGAGAGCGCATTGTTGTGGGGGAAGGTCCGCTTTCGGCTGCGCCGGAAAGTATCCATCCTAATTTTGTGTTTTGAACTACAGGTTCGTGACGAGTACCCTTCCGTAGGCCAGGCAAGAGGATTTCGCCATAAACGTCGGCGCCTAGGATGAGATCTACTGGATCCTCAGCACTGTAGTCAGGATCGGCGAGTAGTACTCCTTGGAGGTGCGGCCAAGTCCTGGAGCCGAGCGTGCTTGCGCCGGAGTAGGCAGTGAGTTGGCGCGGAAGAACCAGAGCGGTTAGTTGGATCGTAGGACCCTCACTCCGAGGAGCCATGGTGAGCGTGACTCGACTCCGCGATGTGCTTGTCTTCTGGCCGCCGACTCCGTACACGGCGACCCTTACCGGAGAGCGCGGTAGATTTAACTTTCCCACAAGACGATGAGAAATAATAGACGATTCGGAGCCTTGGTCGAGTAGGGCACGAGCGGGGTGCCAATTACCGTATCGATCGGCTACGCGAACGCGCGCGGTTGCCAGAAGAACGGAGGAGAGAGTTCCGGTTTTTCGCAGGGCTACGTTCGTGCTAGTAGCGGTATCGCTTTCCCGGAACGCGTCGTGCAAGGAAGTATGGTGCCGATTTCCACACGCGGTGCAGTTTTTTTTCGAGCAGCAATCTTCCACCTTGTGGCGCCCGAGACAGTTGATGCACAAGTTATTGTTCTCAATGTGCTGCTTGCGATCGGATGCGGTTTTCTTCTTGTAGGAGTCGCATAACATGACAAAATGGTCTTTTTGACATAGAGAACACCGTCCGCGTAGTACCTCCGGCTTCGCCTCCTGCTTTCGCGCGTGATGGCTCCGCGTCGTCTTCGGTTCTGACTTTGAGGGCGTACGATCAGCCTTATTAACCGGCGACATCGACTCGAGAGTGTGCAACCGTCGCTCGAGAAATTGTTCGAGAACCTTGTACGAAGGAGGTTCTACCGAGTCACTAATGGAGTTTTCCCACTCCCGACGGGAGCGGGTGTCGAGCAACTCGACCGCGAGGTAAACGAACAAATCTTCGCAGCTTGAGATCGGCCGATTTATGCTTTCGAGCGAGCTGACTACCGACTTTACTCCGTGGAATACCTTGCGTAATTCCGCTGCCGATTCGTTTTTTATCTTTTGAAGCGCGAAGAAATTCGAGAAGTAGGCACGCACTAGGAGTCTCTTATTTTCATAGTACGCGCTTAGCGTTTCCCAGGCTCTAGTAAAATTCTCGGACGTTGTAGATAGATCGCGGATCAATAATTCGGCTTCGCCCTTCAAACAGGTTTTCAAATAATGCAATTTTTCTACTTGCGTTATAGAGGCATCCCTTTCAATAATGGAGTTGAAGAGATCCCTGAAGGCTGTCTTCGTACTTCCCTGAGAAATGCGGCAGCTGGATCCGCGGCAGCGTAGTGCGAGGAGGGTGGGATGGCAAGGAGTCGACTCCCGCCGCTGCTTTCGCTTCCCTTTTGTTAAATCCCTGGAGGAGTTCCAGGAGAGCGCCCTTTTGCTGCAGGTAGGCTTCCTCGGCCAGAAAAGGTAAGTCCTGCTTGTAATACTCATGGTCTAGAAGCGCATCTCGGTGAGGAAAGAGCTCATCGTCCTGTTGATCGAACTTGCTCTACTTTTTTTCCAGGCCCTGCAGGCAAGCCTCGACGACCCCTTGAGTGATTTTTGCAGTCCCAATTTTACGGAGATTCTCGCCAGTGCGAGCGATCTTTCCGAAAAGATTTAATTGAGCGTCCGCTAATTTCACTATCTCGACACTCATAGTCACTTGCTTCCCTTTCAAGCGGTAAACTCCGAAACACAGAGGAAGCACACGCGAAGACCGGATCACGCACTGCACAAGCACGACACACCCGGAAGAGAATCCGGCTCGAAGGACCAAAAAATGTGCGAGATCGCGGTAGGAAGCAAAACGAAAGTGAGAGAAGTTTTAGTGTTCGCGAATGACTTAGCCGTGGAGACAGGCGCGACGATATATGACGACAATGAAGACACCACAACTTCTTGCAACAAAGACGAGCCACGACACGTATATTTTTTGTTCCTTTTATAAATTTTTTATTTCTAACACCACACAATTAGAGAAATAAAGTTTACACAAAATATATATTTGATTACAGACACTGAAGTGAAGCGAGAATAACGAAAAGTCCGAGTGAGTAAGCGGTCGTATACAATAAGCGGTTTTTTAGCGAAGCGGTTGTACTGAGAAAGCGGTTGTGCGAAAAGTGCGAGACTTCGGCTTGCCCTCGCGCTGGGCCCATTATATACCGAGCGGATTTTGGGCCCCGTTGCGACGTGGCCCAATTAACTTTAAAATTTGGCGGTGACCTCATGGCGCCGCACATAATTGGCCGCCGATGAGGTCAGGAGATAGGCGGTTAACATTTGTCATGCGTACAACTTTTTCCGATCAGCTGATTGGTGATCAGCTGATCGTGACGTACGGGCGCGCATGCCCGTTCGTTGCGCGGATTTCGGCGACAGTTGACAATGTTATTGTCAACTGTTGTCACTGAGCGGTTTTGTGCGGCGCAAAAAAAGGAGAGATGACTTGAACGGTTGGCTTTTTGTCAACAATCGATTTTTCGAGAAGTTTCTCGCCGCCCGTTAAATTCGAATTCTCGGGATTATAATAGAAAATGCGGATTTCACTGGTACGCGAATTTTTCCGCATATGCATTTCGAACATCCCGCCCGCCTCGTCAGTACGTGACGAAATTTGTTGGTGTGCGCGGTTATGGGCAGGTGTCGCGTACTGTTCTAGTGGCGAGCCATGGATCGCGATCAATCAATGGAATGTGTGACGTCATGCAGGAGCACGTGTTGTGCAGTTCGAGCGAATCCGTTGAGAAAATGAGTAGTGCGGTGATGAAGTGAGAATATGCAGTGAATGTGATGAACTGAGTGTAAGGTGTTTGCGTGAATGTAGTGACGCTCGAGTGACAATGAATGATGAACAACTTAAATGATGTGAAGTGATGAGCGACGGTGAAAAAAGAGGAAGGAATGATAGTGCGGTCACATGTGATTAAGCGGTGGTCACGCGCGGTATGATTATCGGCGTTCTCGCGGTACAGGTAAGTAATAATGAAAAAAAAAAAAAATGATTTTTCTCGCTCACGAAACCGGAGTTGTTGGTGCTGCGGTGTCGGCCCCCGGCAGGAGGACGATTTTCGCGAGTGGCCGAGTGAACTTCGACGTCGCCGTGCGGAGGGTGACCACGCGGGTGATTCCATCGTCTCCGGGGTGCAGTGCCGTGATGCGGGCGAGCGGCCATCTGGTCGGGGGTGTGATTTCGGACCGGAGTAGGCACAAGTCGCCGATGCTGGGGCCGGTCTCATCCCTGGTCCATTTCGGTCTTGCGGCCAGGGTGCCCAGGTATTCGCGCGACCACCGTTCCCAGAAGTGGTCGCGCATCTTCTGGAGAAGTCGCCACCGGGAGAGTGCAGTGTCCTTCTCGGCGGTGAAGGGCGGTTCTGGGACGGCCAGAAGGGGCGCTCCGATCAGGAAGTGCCCGGGTGTGAGTGCCGTCACGTCGTCGGGGTCGTCCGTCAGCGGCTGTAACGGGCGTGAATTCAGGCACGCCTCCACCTGAGCGAGGAGCGTCGCCATCTCCTCGTAGGTGAGGGTGGCCTCGCCGATGACCCTGCGGAGATGGTGCTTCGTGGATTTTACGGCTGCCTCCCAGAGTCCGCCGAAGTGTGGAGCTGCCGGGGGGTTGAATCTCCATCTCACGCCGTCGGAGGTTGTAGCGAGAGCTATCCGACGGCCGTCGGAGGAGGAAGCGCGAAACAGTTTTCGTAGCTCTCGATCCGCCCCGACGAAGTTCGTGCCGCAGTCGGAGAAGATTTCATGGCAGAGGCCTCGCCGGGAGACGAAGCGGCGGAAGGCGGCCAGGAATGCCTCTGCCGAGTAGTCAGTGACTGCCTCGAGGTGAACGGCCTTGGTACTGAGGCAGACAAAGACTGACATGAAGCCCTTGCTCGCCTTGTGGCCTCGCCCCTTGCTGGTCCGGATGAAGATCAAGCCGGCGTAGTCGACTCCGGTGCGCAGGAACGGGCGTGCAGGAGTCACTCGCTCTCGGGGGAGATTGCCCATCATCGGTTGTGGAGCGGCGGCTTTCCATCGCGTGCAGGTGACGCATCGGTGGATGACCCGTTTAACGACCGCTCGACCACGCAGGATCCAGACCCGTTGGCGCAGCAACCCGAGGGTGAGCTGCACTCCTCCGTGCAGGGTTCGCCGGTGACAGGAATCGACCATCAGGTGAGTCAGCCTGGATTCCGGCGGAATTATAATGGGATGCCGCTCGTCGTGAGACAGCATGGCGTGTTTCAGTCGTCCTCCGACACGCATCACTCCGCTGTCATCGATGAACGGATTCAGACTCGTGAGCGGACTCCGCGGTGGCAAGGCACGTTCTTTGCGTAGTGCGTCGAATTCATCGTGGAAGTGCAGTGCCTGAGTGGTGTGAATCCAGCGAGTGAGTGCGGTTTCGATTTCGCAAGCTTCGAGTGATCGTGCGGTATCAGTGGTGCCGCGAGGTCTCCGGGTGCCGTTTCGTCGCCATCGAAGACACCAGGCGGTCACTCTGAGGAGCCGGTGCAGCGATGAGAACCGGAGAAGGAAGGCCGACTCAGAAACGTCCTTGACGGCAGCCGCCAGTGAGGCGACGGCTCTACGCTCCGGCAAGTCAGCGTCCAGCAGGGCGCCATCGTCACTTGGCCACCTCGCCTCGTCCTCTAGGAGCCAGGATGGTCCGGTCCACCAGAGAAGATGATCGACCAGGTCGTCAGGCAGGATGCCTCGGGAGGCGCAGTCAGCCGGGTTGTCCCTTTCCGGCACGTGTCGCCATCGGGCTTCGGGCAGTTGCTCTTGGATCAGAGACACCCTGTTGGCCACGTAGGTCTTCCAGCGGGAGGCGTGACCGTGAATCCAATGAAGTGTGACCTTGGAATCTGACCAGAGGAAGACGGGGGCTGCGGACAGACTCAATAAAGTGCGCGTGTGAGCAACGAGGTTCGTTAAGAGGGCGGCAGCGCACAACTCGAGTCGCGGCAAGGACACGGGCTTCACGGGGGCGACCTTGCCCTTCGCGTTGAGCAAGTGGATCGTGGTGCCCTTTTGAGTGGAGGAGCGGAGGTACACCACGGCGGCGTATCCTCGCTCCGATGCGTCGGCGAATCCGTGGAGGTCAACATGTGAGTGCGAACCGTCGCTGCCGAGCCAACGAGATACCCTTATCTCGTTGAGGCGTGGGAGTTGAGTGAGCAGGCTCTTCCAAGCAAGTGCGTCCGTTGATGGAAGAGGAGCATCCCAGTCTAACTTCTGGAGCCAGGCGGACTGGATTAAGATTTTTGCTCGCATCGTGACCAGAGTGAGCCAGCCCAGCGGGTCGAACATTCGAGCGGTCTCAGACAGCACGCGTCGTTTAGTGAGTTCATCGAAGTGACGCGCCTGTTGTGAAAAGGTGAAGTGGTCACCGGCCGGATGCCAGTGAAGACCTAGCGTGGTGTGGCTTTCGTGAAACCACGAGTGAGGTGAGTGGGTGAGCCGGTGCTCGTGCGGAACGCCGTCCAGGATGCGGAGGTCGTTCGTCGCCCACTTCCGAAGCGGAAACCCGCCCGCCATGCAGAGGCCGCGGAGCTCTCGCTGGGCTAAAGTGGCTTCCGAAAGGGTGCCGGCGCCGGTCACGATGTCGTCCACGTAGGTATCGTGGCGCAGCGCGGCAGCTCCCCGCGGGAAACGTGTACCCTCGTCATCGGCGAGCTGGTGCAAGGTCCGTATGGCAAGGAACGGCGCGCACGCCAAGCCATACGTGACCGTTTGTAGGCGGTATTCGCGGATGTCGTCGGCGGCACTGTGCCGCCACAGTATCCGCTGATGATCGCGGTCGTCCTGGTGGATGAGGATTTGGCGGTACATCTTCTCGATGTCCGCCACGAAGACATAGTGGTGCCAGCGCCAACGAAGCAGCACGTCCGCGAGAGCTGGCAAGAGGTTGGCTCCCGTCAGTAGGCTGGCGTTCAGTGAGGTGCCCAAGGTTGTGAGCTGAGAGCCGTTGAATACAACCCTGAGCTTCGTAGTGGTGCTCGTCTCTCGCAACACTCCGTGATGCGGTAAGTAGCACCGTGCGGTATCTTCTCGTTGTGATGATGAAGTTACAGCTTCCATGTGTTGCAGGTCCTCGAAGTCCTTCATGAAGCTGCGGTAGAGGTTGCCGAATCGAGCGTCCTTCTCGCAGCGGCGCTCCATGGCGTGGAGCAAACGCTCGGCCGGCCGGCGGGTTTCTGGCAGAGAGGGTGCAGTTCCGGCGAAGGGAAGCCTCACCATGTACCGCCCGGCGTTAGTGCGTGAGTGCTCGCGGGCGAAGATGTCTTCGCATCTTTTCTCCTCAGGAGTGAGCGCGACGGGAGCGACAGGTTCCTTTTCCTGCTCCCAGAAGAGCTTCACGAGATCGTTCAGCTCGTGATCGACCGTACATTGATGGGCGGTGTGGCCGGCTTGTGTCGTGGCTCGATGACCGCCCGACAAGATCCATCCGAGTGAGGTCCTTTGCGCTATTGGCTCGTCCTTACGTCCTTTGCGGAGCCCATCCTGGAGGATGGCGGAGTAAGCGTCCGCGCCGAGCAATATCTCGATCGGATCTCGGTCTAGGTATTGTGGATCGGCTAGCGGGAGGCCGCGTAGGTGAGGCCAGGTGATGCCGGATCGCACGACGGGCCCCTGGTACGTCGAGAGACGCGGGAGAACGTACGCCTGCACCGGGAATGCTGCTCCAGTGATTGGGGAAGACAGCGTCATTGACAGCCGTCCGCGAGTTGCTCCGGTTGCTCCTCCGATCCCGGCTATCTTCATCGAGGAGCGGTCCTGCGGCAGACGCAACCGCTGGGCCAGAGCCTCCGTGACCAGAGAGACCTCGGACCCTTGGTCAATAAGCGCTCGAACGTCGTGCGGTCTCCCCAGATGGTCCTTGATGGTGACCCGAGCGGTGGCGAGAAGGATCGCCTTGCGGTCCGACGCGAAGTGCGTGGCGGACAACGAAGCTGCTCCGTCGGCTTGCGAGTACGCGTCGTGCAGCATAGTGTAGTGTCGTGCCTTACATGTGAAGCACGTTTTCGTCGATTGGCATTTCGCTAGGAAGTGGCAGTTCCCGAGGCAGTTGAAGCAGAGCTTGTGCGCCTCCACCAGGGTTTTCCGTTCGGTCGCGGTCTTGGCCTTAAACGTCGCGCACTGCATAACGGAATGTTTCTCTTTGCAGACGGCGCAAACTGAGGAGTCCGAAGCGCGCTTCACGAAGTGTGACTTCGCGGACCGGGAAGCTTCTCCGGATTTCGCGACGGTGGCTGGCTGCACGGCGTTCAGTGTCAGGATTTGCTTCGCGATGAAGTCCATAAGCACGTCGTTACTTGGCGGGTCGACGGAGTCGCGGATGGAGGACTCCCATTGCATCCGGGTTTGCGCATCGAATCGCTCGATAAGTAAGTAGTTAAAGAGGTCCATTCCGTGCGTGTCTATTGGCCTGGCAATGCTCTCCTGAGCATTAATGGCAGTGGTGGCTGCATTATAAACGCGGCTAAGCTCGTCGGCAGTCGCGGCTTTCATTCTTGCCACGGCGTTGAAAGCGGCGAAGTTGGCGCGAATGAGTTCCCGCTTGTTCTCATAATGTGAGCTGAGGATGGACCAGGCTCGCTCGTAATTGCCCCCGACGATTGGCAACGATCTAATTAGCTTTTCCGCAGGACCCTGCAAGCTCGTGCGGAGATAGTGCAGCTTTTCCACGTCGGAGATGGACGCATTGCTGCCGACGATGGACTGAAAGATGTCGCGAAACGCGGGCCAATCTCCGTATGCCCCAGAGAACGACTGGAGCTTGATCCGCGGCAACGAAGTTTTGAGCGTCTGCTCTTGGCGCTCGGTCTTGGGCGTGATCGACGCCTCGTCTTTGAGACTGTTCGCGTATTCGACAAGTATGCTTCGCTGAGACACGTAAGTTGATTCCGCGATATCGATAAAGTCTGCCTTAGCGTACTCACTCTCGAGATATTTATCTTTCAGAGTTGTCCTGATGAGGTCATGATGAGCCTCAAATTTGGTCCACAGCGTGTCGAGGATGCGGAGGCGAGCCTGGACTGCTTCGGCCGTGATGCTCGAGACGCCCATCTTGCGCAGATTGTCCACGGAGCGGGACATTCGCCCGTGGAAGTCGTTTTGCGCTTCCAACAACGCCTTCAAATCGGCACTCATCGTAACTGTTTCTTTTTGCACAGGTTCGCGCACTAAATGTCACGAGAACGTCACTCACGAACTGCGGATGCGGATGGCGAATCCGGCTCGAAGGACCAGAAAATGTTCGCGAATGACTTAGCCGTGGAGACAGGCGCGACGATATATGACGACAATGAAGACACCACAACTTCTTGCAACAAAGACGAGCCACGACACGTATATTTTTTGTTCCTTTTATAAATTTTTTATTTCTAACACCACACAATTAGAGAAATAAAGTTTACACAAAATATATATTTGATTACAGACACTGAAGTGAAGCGAGAATAACGAAAAGTCCGAGTGAGTAAGCGGTCGTATACAATAAGCGGTTTTTTAGCGAAGCGGTTGTACTGAGAAAGCGGTTGTGCGAAAAGTGCGAGACTTCGGCTTGCCCTCGCGCTGGGCCCATTATATACCGAGCGGATTTTGGGCCCCGTTGCGACGTGGCCCAATTAACTTTAAAATTTGGCGGTGACCTCATGGCGCCGCACATAATTGGCCGCCGATGAGGTCAGGAGATAGGCGGTTAACATTTGTCATGCGTACAACTTTTTCCGATCAGCTGATTGGTGATCAGCTGATCGTGACGTACGGGCGCGCATGCCCGTTCGTTGCGCGGATTTCGGCGACAGTTGACAATGTTACAGTTGACAGTTGACAATGTTATTGTCAACTGTTGTCACTGAGCGGTTTTGTGCGGCGCAAAAAAAGGAGAGATGACTTGAACGGTTGGCTTTTTGTCAACAATCGATTTTTCGAGAAGTTTCTCGCCGCCCGTTAAATTCGAATTCTCGGGATTACAATAGAAAATGCGGATTTCATTGGTACGCGAATGTTTCCGCATATGCATTTCGAACATTTAGCTTTTCAATTTTATTCTTACTAAGTCTTGGTACAGAAAATAAAAAGAGTCACTATTTATAAATTGTATAACTATTACCTTACGATTGTGATAACGCGAGGAGAAGACTCGACTATATTTCGCAAAGCGACGAAATACGATCGGGCCGCGAGCAACGGACTCCAGAAGGCAGAGAGAACTTCTGGTTTTTAGAATTGTTTCGAGGAGTAGCGCACTTTTGCTTCGAGATACTAAACTCTAGTGAGCGAGGACGGTCGTGCGAAGAGGTTTATATAGTAACATAGTGCTAGAAATTGCTCGAATATTCTAGTCGTCGAATTTTCTGGTCTGGTTTATTTATTTATCCTTTCCAAAGTTAAATTCGTTGTTGATATTTGTCACTCTCTTCGGGCGACCGTTTGATAAAAACGGCGTTAATTTTAAGCAAAGTGTCGCGCTCGGATTCGCGGAGATTTTTAAGCGCTGCGCGCGCGCGTCGGTCGCCGCCGCTCTGAGCGCGGTTATTACAATTGCGATCACGAAATGCTCTGCCCACTTTTTGGCAGATTCGTTCAATTTTGAACATTTGTCGATATACGAGAAATAGAGAATACAGAACAAATTTTTGGAAATTTTTTATTAACATAATAGGTTAAATATGTATAATATATAACAAATAAGGTATATAAAATATATATAATTTCAACATAAATTAAATAAACTTATGTAATTGAATCTATCTAATATGTGATTATAGTAACACTCTAATCTCAGAAACTTAATGTGTTGAGATTGGTGCGATCTAATCCTAGTAACTTTTAGTTCCAACTCTGTTTCTTTTTGTCGCCGCTAGATGCGTGTTTTTTTTACGTAGTTATCGGCTTAGTTTTTTAATGCTCTTTTTCGTTACGTTATCTTTTCCTTTGTTCTCCTGTATGACCGCATGTAAGAATATATTCATAAAGTGCATATCCACTGTATTTTGATTTAAAAAAAGTAAATCCCAATAGGTTATGGGCCCAGTGCAACACTGGCACATTAACTTAGAAGTGCTTTGCCTTTTTTTTGAAGAACGCTATTACTTTAAATATTGGTCATATCTTTTCTTATAAAGTCTGGTATCGCATAATGGCTACGGAAGACTTTAGATTACCATTGTTAACCAAGGACAGTTATCAGCGTTGGAAGTACGAAGTACGTTCATGCTTGAAAAGTATTGGTGCGACAGGTTATGTTGACGGCTTGGTTAGATGTCCAGTGGGACATGACAAAGAAAAGGATATTGAGACATTGAAGACAGATGGTAAAGCACAAAAAATTCTTACATATGCATTGTCCGATGATGATGATGCAGCGATTCGTGATTGTGATACCTAGCGCGACGTATGGCTCAAAATCCAATCGATTTATGAAACCAAGACGATTGAAAATAAGTATCTACTTAATCAAGAATTTCATCGAATGCGCTTCAATGATGGTCAAAGTGTCTCCAGCTATTGCGCTTAACTAACTGATTCGTCAACAGCTAAAGACAGTCGGAGAAGAACTCTTAGAATCAGGTTTGATTGCTAAGCTTATCAATGATTTACCATCTAGATTTGATAATTTCAGGTCGAGTTACTATATACAAGCAGCTTCAGGTACGATACTTACATTTGACAAACTAAGAGAACAATTAATGTTGATTGAGGCGAACATTCCCAGTACTGTTGCTGACACAGAAACAGGTGATGCTTTGGTAACACAGGTCAAGGATAAAACAAATAAAAATATGAAGAAGGTGGAGAACGATCCTGTTTTCATTGCAAGAAAATTGGTCACATTAAGCGTAATTGTCGAAAATGGAAAGCTGAGCCAAGGAACAAGAAAAATAAACGGCAGTAGCTTCAGGTCAAGCATTTATAACTGCAGGAGAATCTCAGAAGATAATGCAAAATAAATGGTTATCTGATTCAGGAGCAACGCATCGCATGACATTTCAACGAAATTGGCTATATAATTTTGAACCTATTGCCAAAGAACAATTTGGTGTTACGGTTGGCAATAATCAAATAGCACTTGAACGAAGAAACATTGATGTGATTGCAACAATTGACAATAAAAAGGTACGTCACAAATTATGTAATGTTCTATTTGTACCTAACATAGGCAAGAATTTACTAAGCATAGGGGCAGCAGCTGACAACGGTGTCGAAGCAAAACTAATATTAAACTAATATCCCGTAACAAAGTCATTGCTTCTGGAACTCGTGTATCAGATGGTCTCTATTTGATGAATTTCGAGACAATTGCCAATGCATCAGCAAATGTTTCCTCAATATCAGCTAACGAACAAGTATGGCATGAACGTTTTGGTCATGTAAATTATAAGGTAATTCGAAAATTGGCTAACGGTTTGGCGGTAGAAGGCATGCAAATTGACATGTTAAATACTAATAAAGAGGACAATCAGTTCTGCGAAGCATGTATTTTTGGCAAGCATTGTCGAAAGATGTTCAACGATTCTAATACTCGAGCTGACAAATTGGGCACACTCGTACATTTTGACATATGTGGTCCAATGTCAATCGAATTATTTGGCGGAGCCAAATTCATGGCAATTTTTGTTGATGATTACACAGACATGGTGTTTGTATATGTATACGATGAAGTCAAAGGCAGATATCATTGATCAGAATCAGTCAGTATGAAAGATGTCATTGCAAATGCTAATGCGAATGGACATAGAATAAAACGTGTACGTTCAGACAACGCCAAAGAATTTATTGGAAAGGATATGAAAATGCTTCTTCGAGAACGTTCCATTCCTCATGAATTTTCAACAGCATATTGTCCAGAGCAAAATGGTCGCGTGGAGCGTCAAAATAGGACCATTGTAGAAATGGCATGGACACTACTGGCTGGAGCTGAATTACCACAAGGATTATCGGGCGAAGCAGTTCATACAGCCACACATATCCGAAATCTTATTCCACTAGAAAGATTAAACGGCAAAACTCCGATGGAATTGTGGACTGGTAAGAAACCAAATGTTTCATATTTACGTATTATAGGCAGTAAGGCATATACCTTGATTAATGGGAAGTGATCAAAATTTGAAAAGAAGAGTCAAGAATTAGTTTTGAGTCAAGAATTAGTTTTGATGGGTATGCACCAAAGCAAAAGGCTTATCGTGTTTGGCAGCATAGAACTCGAAAAGTAATTGTAAGTCGTGACGTAAGTCGTAATAATTGTTGAACCTAAACCTAAACAGCAAGCCGTCATTGTAACAACATCAGATAACGATCAAGATGAATTAGATGATTTTGAGAATAACGTCAAGAATTAATCAAGATCATCAACACCTGAAGATGATGAAGCAATTAAATCAACTGACAATATTACTACTAAAGAAACTAAGACTGATTGCATTGCAAATCGAACACGTAGTAAAGCTACTTCAAATATTATCACAACTGCTAGTGCTTTTTTAGCAGACATTGTTATTCCAAATACAGTTTCTGAAGTAAAATCAGGAGTTTACAAGGATCAGTGGGAGTCATCAATGAAGAAGGAATACGACTCATTAATCCAAAATAGTACATGGGTTTTAGTCAATCTACCGGAAGATAGGAAGCCAGTTAAAAATAAATGGATATTCCGATTAAAAACGAAACCGGATGGATCAATCGATCGTTTTAAAGCTCGTCTTGTAGCCAAAGGATGTTCTCAGAAAGCCGGAGTGGATTATTTGGAAAGCCTTTTCGCCAGTGGCTAAATTTGATTCCATTCGAACATTACTATCGATTGCAGCTACTAAAGATTACGAAATTTATCAATTAGACGTCAAGACAGCTCAGAAAAAGTATGTAAATTAAACAAGAGTATCTATGAACTTAAACAAGCGTCAAGACAATGGCATGCAAAGTTTGATGAATTTATAAGGTAAAGTGGGGTGTTGTGTGCCATGGAGTGTCGTGTGCCACTCAGTTTACCGCCATGTCGGATTAGTATGACGTCATCTACGTAATGTCAGGTTAGTTTCTAGACCTACTCTCACTTTTCATGAGCATCCGACGCTTGTGCACGCGTCCCACAAGTTTTACGAATTGTTCTCGTTTCGTTGTGCTCGGAAAAGTTTTCTAGACGATTTTTC